GGCCCGAACATTACTTATTTATTCGGGAATACAGGCTCGAACATTACTTATTTATTCGGGAACACATTCCCGAACATAGCTTATTTGTTCGAGAATGCATGTCCGAACATGGAAATTTGTTAACACTTCCAATGGTTAAAATTATTAACACTTGCAGAAGTCTTCATTTTTTCAAGTTCGGGACTACAAGCCGATCATTACTTATTTGTTCAGGAACACATTCCCAAACATAACTTATTTGTTCAGGAATGCAGGTCCGAACATGGAAATTTGTTAACACTTTCAATGGTTAAATTTGTTAACACTCGCAGGAGTTTTCATTTTTTCAAGTTCGGGAATACAGGCCCGAACATAGCTTATTTGCTCGGGAATGCAAGTTCGAACATGGAAATTTGTTAACACTTTCAATGGTTACAATTCTTAACACTTGTAGAAGTTTTTATTTTTCCAAGTTCAAGAATACAGGCCTGAACATTACTTATTTGTTCGGGAACACATTCCCGAACATAGCTTATTTGTTTGGGAATATAGGTCCTAACATGGAAATTTGTTAACACTTTCAATGGTTACAATTCTTAACACTCGCAGAAATAAGTAATGTTCCGGAATGCAGGTTCGAACATGAAAATTTCTTAAACTCAATGATGATATATATATATATATATATATATAACTATAAAAACACAACAACATCAGTTAAAGCAATCATAACAATCAAACACAACATATATAACTGAAAAGCATTAATGAAATTACTAACTGAAAACCTTGGTGTGAACATAACTGTCATACATCAAAGCAACCATGACAAAATCATCCATAATATTACTACATCAAAAGGATGGTCCATAATCATCCATACTACAAAAATACGCATAAACATTCATTCTAATAACAAAACATCCATAGTATCCCACAAATGATCATGAATTTTCAGTTGTATCCAATGTCAATTTGGCAAGGGCGAGGATGAAGGCGACGGCGATAAACCAAACTTTCTTCTATGGACTGTTGTTGTTTTGATGGGGAGTGTTATTTCGGTGGAGAGTGATGTTCCAGTGGGGAGTGTTGTTCTTCATCTATGTGCTAGTTCTCCAATAATTGTGTCACTACTTTCAATGCATTGTGCAAAGACTCTGGAACACTAATGACTTCAATGTAATCCAACTGCATTATTGGACGTGCTATAGTCAAGGCTTTTGCAATGCGTTGTGAGTCACTATGAGCTATTGATGCCTTAGAAATGAGGGTCGTATGTAGATCGATGTGTCGGATTTTGAATAGTGACATGGGAAATGCGACAATACCAATCCATGTAATTGGGCGTGCAATCCCATAGATGTAAAACTGGCTCACTTCGCTCCACTTCAGACAACACATGATTTTTCCACCTCTCTGTAATCCGATCTACATATTTGTACGAAAGACAATACTTGCCAACTGTAGATCCTCGTGAAACAAGAGCAATTGGAGGTGAGGGAATATTTTGCACCCTTCCAAACTGTCTCAAAAACCTATCTGGATAATAGGGTTCAAAAATATCTATGCATTTTAGCAATCCAATATAGATGCAACTTCAGCAAATGGATGGTTGTCACGTTTACTAATATATGGATCCCAAATAAGCTACAAAGAATACACCAAATAAGTAAATTTCTCTATAAAAAATCAATCACACAAAGGAATTACACTTTACTTTTTTACCTCATGAGCCTCCAATCTATCAAGCTCCTCTCGCAATGACTTTAACACAGCAACCGACGAACCAGATTGTGTGCGAGGAATCCAACGATAAGCCCGAGGCTAGTTTTCTGTATAATTTAAATTTGGATGGGTTCTAGCAGATATAAAATGTTCGTAGATCCAAGCCTCCAACAATGTCATGTATCCTGTTATTTGTCTGACAACAGACTTTTTTGCCATACTCAATTGCTGATACAAAAAAGCCAATACAGCTGCACCTTAAGCATACGAATGAACTAAATTCAAATCCTCGAGCAACTGGAGATACACAACAAGTACACGATTTGTAGTCTTGTCAACGAACAAGGTACAACCTAACAAGAATAATAAATATGCCCTCGCTGCATAATTAATGAAATCATTTGAATCCGTGTCTGAAACTAACTGAAATTTTTCATGCAACCATTCCAATCGCACTGATTGGCCTTGCGCTCCCTTCAACTCAACAACTGCATCATCTTCTGACTCTCCTAATGACTTAACCAACACCTTTGTAGCTTCATCCCTTGATAACTTATTAGTTGACATAGATGTACCAGTCACAGGAATTCCTAATATGGTACTTTAAATCATCTAATGACATGGACATCTCACCAAATGGCATATGGAAACTGTTAGTCTCAGGTTGCCATCTTTCAACAAAGGCAGATACAATAACCTTGTTCACAAATTTGTATGAGCATCTGGATAAAGAATACAGTCCTGAATGTTTAATAATGTCCACAAATTTAGAGTTCTCAACTCCTTCCGATGTTAAAGACCAATAAGCAACCTTATACCCATGGTTCAAGCATCGCAACAAATCTCATTCCTACATCATTGCCTAACACAACAGTGTCATGTATTTCAATTTTTTTTTTTTTAATTTAAATGATTAAAACAAGACAATAGTTTGTAAGTTGTACCTCATTATTCCAAATTTTGGCTGCTACATGACAATTAAAATTTGTCAGAATGGAAGGATCAACTAGGCCCCTGGGAAAAGGTATAGCAAGCCCTTCACTTGAACCAAACATGTCCATGGGATGGTCAACATCAGGAATGTCCGTGTGGTGGTCAACGACAGGAATGTTCGTTTACTCTTCATTGCCATCAATATCATTGACAACGGGTTCATCACCATCAAATTCATCAACCTGAACATTACGAGCACGACGTTTCCGACAGACATTTTGAGGTAATTGGGAGTTGTTACGCCTCAAAGATGTCGTTTGTCGCTTTCGAGTTGTATTGTTAATTTCCAGAAGTTAGTTGCATCATTTGGAAGACACAATATTAATTTTACAAGCTAAGACTTGTAATGACAAAAAAATGAAAATATACTTATTAGGGAAGGAGAAAATAAAAGGAAATAAGATGATTATATACAAGAGCAGACATGTTATAAATGAAAATAAAGTTAGCTTGTTTGTGCTCATGCAGTGGTATGTAGCTGAAAAAAGCTCAAAAGCAAGCTAGCTCAAAGGAACAAGAATCACTCATCAAAGAGGCACTGGATGTCCATTGACAATGGCCAAGACAGATTAAGAAAATTTTAAATTTTGAAATGTAAATGGTAACATCATTTATGTATTGTTACCTGCTTCGAATTCACAAAATGTACAAAATCACCATACCATCTTGAGCTTCCTCCTTTTAAAGTATAGCTAGAACTTTTTTAACAACATTTGGGTTTGAATTTTATTCTTTTGTTTGGTGGAGAACCATCATTAGGATATAAACTTTTACTGAAGGAGGAAAAAACTTCAAACGAATTCTGGAGTTAATTTCATATTGACATCCAAAATTCTGCAGTTCTTTCCTCCTCCTCTTCTTCTTGTTCTCTCTCACTTGTTATTCTTTCTCATACATTTTTCAATGCCACAAGAAATAGATAATTATGAAGCTTTCATATAATTTTATAAGACTCTTTCTCGCCCACAATTCAGGTATGTGTCCCTTCTCTAGGGAAGAAAGAAAAAAACAATCATGATAATTTTTAAGTTCTGGATGTGCTGAAAGTAGTAATGTAGCTTTGTGTGTATGTCTGCTACATGTATATACAAACAATGTTTTTGGTAGATCACAAAATACAATTTAAGAGGCAGAACAGTCTTTTCCCAATATTTAATAAGTCTGAAAAAATTTCATTTACATATGAGCCCATAAAACAGGTTTATGTTTTTTCTTGATGTACTAGAAAATTTATAATGTTTCAATTAGCCAAGGTGGGTGAACTTTCGTTAAACCTACTACCAATTACCTACTACTTTCCTTTATTATCTCAATAGATATAGTAATTTATTTATAAAATGAGGAGCACGAGGCATATAGGAGTCTTCTGCACCTTGTATAAATGATATAAGGACAAGAAAAACATTGAATCCACAAGAAAGAAACCAAAAGGGCAAAAAAAATCCAAAGAAATAAATGAAGAAAAACCATCCTATGAAAGTTTTAAAGATTTAAGTGAAGCCTATGATCCCATCATCAATTAAAAAAGGACAGCACAATTTAACAGTTTTTGAATAAATAAAATCTATAAACAATAATTTAACCAGTAAATTCATTGAACCAATGAATCTAAACATTGCAGTCTAGTGCGAGGTTGCCTTTACATCTGTTCATACTTGAGAAATCCTCACCTAACCCTGCCCCTCCTCCCTAGCCTTGAGAAAAAGCCAACTTATGTATGTATTATTATTATAAATCAAAATCTATAGTAAGTGATTAATTTAAAAATATGCACATACAAAAGAAACACATAACATTTTACGTGATTCAGCTTGAATGTCTACATTTATGGAGAGATGTAAATTCACTATAAACATAGAGTATAGTGTATATGTGAGATGGTCAAAATATACAAAACCTATACCACTATCCGAACCTTATATTAAAGTAATTGAGTCATTACTCACCCCAATATTACTATATTTTTCTCACTCATATTACACATTTTCCTCGCCATTTTCTCTCACACTCATAAGAGAGACTCATCCCCTCTCTTAATCTCAACTCAACCCCATAAATCCATATTTATACACAATACAATAGTTGAGGAGTTACAAAATAAAACACCCTTTGAACTTTTTCAAAATGACAGCCGAGTATAATAATAGCTTTCCATTACTCAAGCCATATGCCACAACTCTTGCACAGACCAAACAAAGTGCAAGCATAGGGATGTTCATTTTCTCCTGTCCCGCTTCGCACTCGCATCCTCCCACCTCATCTTACACTGATTTTTCTCGTCTCGATTAAGAAATGGGACGAAGATGGATTTTGCTTCTCCCATTACTTTGTTACTCAAGAGGGACGGTATTGTCGAAATTGCTGTATCGGGGGTACTTAACAAAAAGCAAATAAAAACGAAGAAATAAGAAAGTTCACTCATAATATTTACGGGCATTTTTTTCATAAATCCCTTTTTATCTATTTATATTCTATTTAATTTATATTATTTTCTTATATTCTAATAAGTTCTATGGGTGACATAATTATTAAAATATCCCTAATAATATTCGTATTTATAGTGCGAATGTTTTGTGATGTGAATGTTCACACCGTCAATGTGAATATTTACACCATTAATGTAAATGTTAACATGTCAATGTGAATATTCATGTTGTCAATGTGAACATTCACATTGTAAAATATAAATGTTTATATCACTAATTTGTTAACTGTTCAAAAAATATTTATAAGGGTAGAAATGTCCATAAAATAACTTAAATATGAGAATTATGATTTGTTAGATTAAATGTTTAAATAATAGGACTTATTCGAATACAAGAATATCTTATAGACTAATTGAGATACAATCACTTGAAAAAGAATTTTCTAATAAATCTCCCTAATATTAAATCGGGATTTTATTTTAAGATTCTTGATATTAAGATTATATAAGATAAAAAACATACAACATGTTCATAATAGTTGGAGTCCCTTAACATTTTCATAGAGAAATTTCGGCATAGAGAAATTTTAGTACAGAGAAATTTGCCTTTATAAATAAATTTCACAAAGAAATGTAAGCTTTACGAGTTGAAATTTCTCTAGTAATATTATTGAGAGACTTTAACTAATAAGAAAAAATATATTAGACCTATCCTATTATCAAAAATTAGAGAGAAATGTTTAACTAAGTTTTCCTTTTAAATCCATGTAATAGTTCAAACAATTGAGTACGATAAAGCATAAAAGGAATTGGGGGAGGATATGCTCTAAATTATTTCTCACCATATGATTTGTCAAAATAATAACATTTTTAATTGATAATTTATATATCGTGTGGCGATAACAGTGTTTCAGATAGGAACACGGAAAATGCAGAGAGAGGATCCTATCTCATAAAAGTATTGCATATTGTGTAAGTGGTATTGGGATCATGAAAAATATTTTATGAAAATAATTATACTCTCCTTTGGCATAAGTTAAACGGAGGTTTTTTTGGATTAAAATAGTCACAAAAGACAAAATAAACTCTTAAGTCTAATAAGATAAAATGTCACATCCAAATCATAATCATTTTATTTTTTTCTCTCACAAAAGTTAAAAAAGTTAAAAAGTCTATCCCAAATAAGATTTTTTAACCCCAGGCTAATATAGCCAAAAAGTCAAAAAATTAAAATGCCAATAAATTACAATATGTAATGTAAGAATTGAGAATCTTTCATGATCATCCTCTTGAAACATTTTTCATAAAGCCTAGCATTTTTCATATTATTAATCTTTTTTTTTTTCCTCCTTATTTTATGATGTGCCTATCCAGAATTTCTTCCTTTTATTGCACATTTTGATGTGTTTATACCAGCATACTCTTGCTGTTGTTTATTTTTTATTATTTTTTATAACTTGTCTACATATAAAATAATAAAATAAAATAAAAGACCACAATTTATTCAGATTTTTGAATCAAAGGTCTAGATTTATTGGTAAAATGACCTCACAACAAAAAGATAAAACCTACATTGTAGACCTGAAATCTAGGTCAAATTCTTAATCCATTTTTCTGGTTTCACAATTTTATTTTTATTTTTATAATTGAATATCCAAATCAGTTTTGTGCATATCTTAATCTAAAAACTTTAAAATTAACGATCACGCAAACCTTGAGTTCAAAATCATGTTATCCTCAAGTCTTTAGTGTTGGACCAACTTTGAGGTTATCTTGCTCTCACTTTGGGAAGCAAATTGACCAGCTGCTAACGAAAAGGGTTGGTAACTAGAGAGAGCATTTGGGTTTAGTGAATTCATTGTGAGCTCAATTTTAGTGATTCGAACCACTCACCTTTTAGAATTCATTGAAAAGAATAAACTTGTAAAAAATCAAGTTGATTAGATTTCTAAAGCTATATATTTGAATCAAATTTGTTTTAAAAAAATAGATAGCAAAGATAATTTCAATAATAATTATCTACTTTTATAAGATAAATGTGATTTAAACATATAACTTTCGAAGTTTCATCATCTTGATTTTTTGCATATTTATTATTCTCAACAAATCCTAAAACATGAATGATTTGAATTTCTATGTTTGAACTCACAATGGACTCACTAAATCCAAATGCTTTTTCAAATTGGATTTTCAACTTGAGAAGCCAAACCGGATGGAAAAATAATCCTTGCTATTTCGACATGTCATTAGCCAGAGCCTTCAAGCTCTCACCCCAATGTCCATCTTGATTCAAGGACAATTCGGATCACCCATTTCCATAATTACATCCAAGAAAAAAGAAAAGAAAAGAGAAAACATACATACACACAAATAAACTGTGAAACATGATAAGAATACAGTTCTGCTGCAAGAACAAGAAACCAAAGATGAGTCAGCTATTGCACCATCACAGCAGAGCAGAGTACATCGACTCTCAGCATCTCCAGCAGCACCAGATTAATTCTCATCTATCATAACTAACTCCTAACTACTTACTGTTACAGAAGTTAGTTAGGTAACCTTTCTTAGTTAGGATCATAGTTATGTTAACCGTGGTTGAGTTAACAGTTGTAATCATCTTCTCTATAAATTGTAATAGTTTCATATGAATGAAATAAGAAAGAAAGGATTCAAATTCAAAATATTCTTTATGGTATCAGAGCCCCAAATGCTCTAGCGAGCTCAAAGGTTCTTCCATGGCTTCCATGGATTCTTCATTTCAACTTCCTGCAAATCTAAAACTTTTGGTTTGAATATTACCTATTTTTTGGGCATTTCAGTTGTCCATTCTTCTGCAGGCTACTTCTTATCTCAGTCTAAGTATGCTCTTGACATTCTTGCTAAAGCTGGCTTAACTAACTGTAAACCTTGTGCTGCTCCTATGTCTGTTAAACCCTCTTCTACTGCTTCTCCTTCAGTTCCTTTTTCTCAGCCGTCTCTCTATCGGAGTCTTGTGGGCGCTCTGCAGTATCTTACCATCACCCGACCTGACATTGCTTTTGCTGTTAATCATGCTTGCCAGGCCATGCAATCTCCTTCTGAGGCTGATTTTGCTGCTGTTAAACATCTTCTTCGATATTTGAAGGGGTCTCTTTCTCACGGCTTGCAGTTTGCTTCGGGTTCTCTTGATCTTTTTGCCTTTTCTGATTCAGATTGGGCTGGCTGTGTCGTTGATCGTCGGTCTACTACGGGGTATTGTGTCTTTTTGGGCCCCAATCTGATCTCTTGGTCCGCTAAAAAACAACCCACCGTCTCGCGTTCATCCACTGAAGCTGAGTATCGTGCTTTAGCCTAGGTGGCTGCTGAGCTTTGTTGGCTTCAAATGCTTTTATCCGAGCTCAAGGTTCCTTCTTGCTGTCCTATTATTTGGTGTGACAATTTATCTGCTATCTCGCTCAGTTCTAATCCGGTGTTTCGCGCTCGTTCTAAGCATATTGCTGTGGACTATCATTATATTCGTGAGCGTGTTGCTGCTAAACAGGTTGTTGTTCGTCATATTTCTTCTTCTGATCAGCTGGCTGATCTTTTTACTAAGCCTCTCCCTGTGGCTCGCTTTCAATTTCTTCTTTCCAAGCTCTTGCTGTCGTCCCCTCCTCTGAGCTTGCGGGGGCATGATAAGAATACAGTTCTGCTGCAAGAACAAGAAACCAAAGATGAGTCAGCTATTGCACCATCACAGCAGAGCAGAGTACATCGACTCTCAGCATCTCCAGCAGCACCAGATTAATTCTCATCTATCATAACTAACTCCTAACTACTTACTGTTACAGAAGTTAGTTAGGTAACCTTTCTTAGTTAGGATCATAGTTATGTTAACCGTGGTTGAGTTAACAGTTGTAATCATCTTCTCTATAAATTGTAATAGTTTCATATGAATGAAATAAGAAAGAAAGGATTCAAATTCAAAATATTCTTTAAAACAAAAGAAGATTTTGGTTCTGAATTTAATTTTTTAAAAATTAATTTTTTTGTTTTCGCATTTTTTACTTTTAGTAATTTTTTTAATATTTTAAACAATTTTTTTTTACATTTTAGATACATTTAATATAAATACAATCAAAAAGTATAATATTAGTGATTTTAAAAAAAATCACTAAATACTAAAAATACAAAAAAATATTAAAATTCAGTACATTTTTGTATTCTTATGTATTTATTGATTTTTTAAAATATTTTTGGGCAAAATCCATTTTACCTCCTTATGGTATGGCTTGATAGTATTTTACCCCTATCTTTTAAAAATAGTCATATGCTTCCATATGATTTTAGACTAAAATGCAACTGTTAACACTATTAACTAGGGGTAGGCATCAGTCCACTCACCCATCCAGCCTGCCCAGCCCAAATATATTTTTTTAGAGTTTGAGAATATAACTTTAGCCCATAGGAATTGCGCTAGGTTGATATTTTCAGTCCGATTAATAAATGGGTTGGGTTTGACAATTGTACTTCGGCCCTGACCCGGACTGACCCGACCAGCTACATATTTAATTCAATAAATTAATTAATTTATCTAATATATTAGAAATATATATACTCTTTTAATTGTACAATTTTTTCATTTGTTTCTTTATTTCATGTTAATAATTTATTTGTTGATAATGTAGGAAACTTAGTATCATCGGAAATAATGATTAATGGTAATTCTAACTCTTTAGAAGATGATAATGAAAAAGAGGAAGAAGTTTGAAAATTAAACCCATGTTTTCTTTTTAGTTTGATGTACTATTAACGAGAATTTTTTGTACGCTAATAGGATACCACGTGTCACTAATCACAAATGTATATACCCATTTTTTGTTCCTCAAACATTCAACATGAATGTAGTGGACCCTACTGTCAAATCCAATCATAATAATAGAAGGTACCACATGACATATACCCTAACAGTTTGGTTTTAAAAACTCTGAGCTTATAGAATTATGGGTGTGTTTGGTTTAAAAAAACTTTAAAATGTTTTAATTAATATGGTATTAAATATTTAACTGTTAGTTGTTGGATAGGCCTTTGTTTATTTATGAAAAAATAATAGGTACTATAATGTTTAGTTTTTTTTTTTAAAATGGCTTAGGTATATAACCCGATGGACAGGTTTGGAAATTACAATTTAAATTAGGACTGGGTTTGAGATGATTATATAGGCCTGATGTTTGGGCCAAGCAGACTTGGGCAGACACAAAGTCTCTTATTAGATAGTGTCGGCCAGGCCCGGCCCTGCCCAATCCTATCGTTAACTATAAATGTGAAATAACTATAATACCCTCAAACTCTATATTTTTTTTGTTGTTTTCTTTCTCTCTCATCTCCAATACACATAATTTATAATGTCTCGTATTAATTCAATTAATTATAAATTCTTAATTAATTATTGTAATTCTTAAATTTTTATTCTAAATCTAATTTTAATTTAATTATATTTTAGATCAAAATCAATCATAAATATTTAACTATTTATTGTAATTATTAACTTTTAATCTAATTTTAATTAAATTAAATTTTATATCACAATTAATCCCAAATTATTAATTATTTATTATAATTTCTAAATTGTTCATCTAATTTTAATTTAATTACATTTTAGATCAATTCTTAATTATTATTTATTTTATATTTTATTTAATTATATTTTAAGTCAATTCTTAATTATATTTTATATTTTAGATCAATTTTTAATTATATTTTAGTTTGATTTATTTTATTTAGTTAACTTATTAATCTACTTTTAGGTTTGGAGAAAATGGAGGTAAAATTATCATTTTGTTGTATTCATTTCATTCTAATTTTTTAGAAAATAAAACCTACTCTAAAAAATGGTGTGTGTAATAAACCTTTTGTTAATTTGGATGGAAAAACTAACGGTAGTATTTTAGTCCAAAATTACACGGGGCTTTCTGACTGTGACACCCTGAACGTTTAATTAAATATCATATAAATATTTATAGTTATATAATTATGATTGTATGTGATGATATATTATTCCATAAATAAATATATAAATTTAATTTGGCATTAGGTTATCAAATATGAGATTAATTAGAAATTATTATTTATGGCCAAATTAACACAAATATAGAATTATAATACTAATTTGGCCAAATTAGAGTTAAAAATAGCAAATAAATAAATGTAAAAGTAAGAGTAAATAAATAATATTATTAATAAGCCTACTAATGAGATAAGGCCTATGTATGATACATGAGATTTTCTGGAGATTAGCAAATCAATCATTAATTAGAGGAGATTTGGCAATTGTCTTGGAGTTATAGTATTAAGCCACCTGTGCCACCTAAACAAATAGGAGAGGTAAGTCGTCAACATGGGGTTATCATAACGAGATAAATCAACAATAAGCAACGTGTATATAAAGCGCAGGGGCTGTGAAATAATAAGAGATCAAACGGAAAGAAAAAGAGAGAGAGGGAGATAGAAGCAAGAGAATACAACAAAAATAGAAAGAAATTAGTAAGACTCAATATTAAGGTGAGTTATATTATACATTGAGTTACCATAATATATTTTACGTATGTTTTGACTTACCATAATCTATTTTATACAAGTTGTATTTTATTAGTTATATTAATACAAATTATGTGTTACAAATATTTTAATTACGTGGATTAATTTCTAAACTCTATTTGTTTAAAATGGAACCCATGGATATGTTTGTTTAAATTTTAAAGAATATTTGACTATAACCTTATAAACAATTATGTTTTGTAAGTACCACCACGGGAGTTCCATGTCTTGGGGGACTTAAATAACTATTGGCCTCTGTTTGGCCACTTTGTGGTCCTCTGTTTGTCATGGATCCATTGATCTCTATTCTGATTGTCACTTTTGTAACCTCTGTTCTGTTCTGTTCTGTACCGTGGTTATGGTTATTTATTTACATAATTTTTGTATTTCAGTTTCTATCACTTTAATGATTCATTTACCAAATTGGGTTATGTAATTATTTTGGCTTAACTAACTATCCGTGATTATTTTGTATTCCCTATACTCTTGGCATAATATTTCTCACTCTGTTGTGTGCTCATAGCTGTTACCATTTCAGGTAACGAGATGTAGGAGAAACCCATAACCTCATGTAATGGAACTCGCACGAAAATTGATGTTGAACCACTATTTTGTCTTTCTTTTCTTTTTTATATTTTTGCTCCTTTTTGTTTCTACTCAAGGCCGGTCACTGAATAATAAAAAAATAAAAGCCCTATAAATATATTTTCTCTTTTAAAATAGTAAAATGGAGTAATTTCCTGTTTAATTATTTTTATTTTCGCTTGTGCAGTTTAATTTGCTACGAATAGAATAAGTTAGTAAGTTGCGATTCCAACCCTAAGCCCCTGGGGTTGAGTCGTGACAAAGGTGGTATCAGAGCAATGGTTCAAAAAAAAATGCTATTTTGATTTGATCAGGAAGTTCGAAAAGTTATAAATAAATCTATAAATAAAACTATATATCTAAATAAACATAATAAAATAAAATAAAAATAAAATAATAAATATTTACCTGCTACGTTAGTCCTTTTGTGTAAAATATCACGTTTATTCTGGTAATGTAGGAATGTCAGAGATTAACCTTAATGATGCGTTTTGGGATGAGCTCGGGCCATTAATTTAGATGAGATTTTAGCCGAGTACCCCGCCCCCGCCTTACCTGAGGGTTCGGAAAATTCAGAGGACATAATCAGAGGACTACATCCAGGCCTTGCCCAATTAATGGGTTGGCCAATCTATATGTAGGCTGATCCTACCGAAGTCCCACATTTACAATGAAGGCAAAGTCGTGCCGATACACGTGGACGTTTTTTTGGACCCACTCGTGTCCTTGGCATTGCCCCGGGACATGAGCCCTCTACCCCTAGATTTTGTGGCCTGAAGGGGGAATGTGTACCCTGAGGACTATATTTTCACCACTGTCCTTAACCGGCTGGAGATAATTAATATTCAAAATGTTGGCTTTAATAATGACTTGTCATATGTCAAGACACTCGGCTGGATTGTTGATCGAGCATTTTTGGGATACATACAGTCCGTCCCCATTTTCACAGTCCAGGCAGTGTGGATGTGTTTTGGTGTAGTCCAGTTAGGATGGGAATTTGAGCTTTTTATGCAACACTATTTCCCATGGTTGTTTGGCCCATTTGACCCACCACACTAGATTTGGTAGAAGAGAACCTTTTTATATGCTGACCATGATGCGTTCTAATCCCTTTTTGTTGTCTTTCTGTTTTTGTCTACCACAGGAATGAGACACTAACATATTCTGACTTTTGAAACAAAGATGTAATATTAA